CAGCCCTCCCCACCTGACAATAACCAATTAAGACGAAGGAGAAGGCTTTAAAGATACTATTTTCCACATGTCTTCATGATGTGAGTCAGAGCCCTGGCTCTTGAAGTGTTTTTTACAGGTTAAGGAAATGACCAGTGTCTGCCTAGGGATATCCAGGTACTGTGGCACTTTTCTCTATTCCAGAGGTTCTCAAATTTTCCTGTACATAAAATTCACTGGGAAAGGTTGGCAAAAAAAAAAAAAAAAAAAGCAAATTTCCTGGACTTCAGTCTCAAATATTCGGTTTACAAGGTATGTGGCAAACACCCAGAATCTTCATTTTAATAAGCCTTGTGGCATGGCTCCTCCCACTCCACTCAACTTGTTTCCTTTACAATTTCCAGTGGTTAAAGCCAGTGTCTTGTCCTGATTTTCTTGACGCTCCTGCAGCTTCCACCACTGTTGGCAATTCTTTCTCCTCCTGATGGCTCCTTCCTATTTTTTGTTATATGCTTTTTACATAAAACCATTCTTCAAAGGCAATTCTCAGACACTTTCCCCTTTTTAATTCTATAAACTCCACTTCTGGGCACCCTCACCTTCTTCAATGCAGTGTAATTGTTGTGTAGAAGTTTCTCAAGTGGCATCACACTCCATGCTTTCTCCTGGGTCCAGCTATACTTTTTTCCTTTGTAATTGCCAGAGGGTAAGTGTGTTCGCTCACCCAAGTAAGAGAAAGACAGAGATGGAGGCCGAGAAAGAAAAGGACCCCTAATGAGGAGTGCTCATGCCACAATCCCTTTTGCTCCATTTCTCTGTCCTGCTGGGATTTGGCAGTTGGCCATCCATCTGGGATCCAGCTCTCTTAACCACCAGGCTACATGCCCATCCCACAGCCATACATCTCTAACTGCTTCTTGTTGTCCATCCCTCAGGTTCCTCTAACTTTATGGCCAAAACTTCCCCTTCCCATATATCTTAGCTTATATGAAAGCTGAGAAGTTATATTTCCATTCTTTCTGACACTTAGTCTCAGAAATTCAGAATCTTCTTTACTTGTCTCTTACTCCCAGTATCAACACAGCTTTCCAATCCTGTCCCTACCCATAAAAGTCTCCTCATAGCAATTCATGCTTTTGCTGCTCTCCTAATTAATGCTTCTACACCTCACCGATTCCATCTGAAACGTTATTTATTCTCTCCCCTTCACAACCTCCTGCAAAAGCCACTTGAAAAATCTATTCAGGAGCACTGATGATTAGATCATCCCTCTATTCAATGACACCCAGAGCCTGCAGCGACTCCCTGAGGTGTTAAGTTTCTGCTGCTCAAGGCCAGCCACTAAAACCTCCCAACTGCTTTCCTCCTAGAAGGGTTAGTTTTCCTGCTGCACCTACTGGTTCTACATCCTTTGAGGCACAACTCCTGAGTTCCCTAAAAGGAAAAGTAGATAAGGATTGTAGGACGTTAGGCAAATGCCCTTACTTCCAGCTGCTGTTCAATTTTATTTCATGATGCTAAAGACAGTTAACAGTGTTTGAATATTGTTAATAATAATTAGTTAGAGGCCTGAATATTTTAGTTGAACAGTTTTAACAATAATTGCAATTATTAATATAGAGACCATCTACAGAGGACCTACTATGTATTTTAAACATGTTATTGGGCATATTCACAACAATTTGGCAAGCTCAGAATGAGGACTTTCCTTTTATAGATAAAGAACACAGGCTTCCAAAATGCGTAACTCTAAGGAAGCCACTGGGAACTGATGGACCAAACATTTAAACGAGGGTCTGGTTGACCTGACGTCATCTGTGTTGCACTGTGCCTCTTCATGAAAGTGATGACACAATCCACAAGTGCTATGGACTGGATGAGAGAGCCACATTAACCCTGGATGGACGAGTGAGTGAGCTACGCTTATGCTGATGGCCATTGGAAACTGATTTAGGGTATTTGGAATGTAAACACATATTAAAAACACATAGGTGGGAACCAGCAGTTGGCGTAATGGCTATGTCGCTGGACTCCCATGTAGTCGACCGTGGTTCGTGTCCCGGACCCGGTGGCTTAAAACTCACGCCGGGCGCGTGTGTGTGCATGCCCAAGATCCCAAGAGGAGAATGGAGGAGAAGGGATTGCGGTGTGACCATCCCCCCTGGGGGGTGGTTTCTTGCTTTCTGTCTCTATGTCTCTCTCTGTCTGTCTGGCGAGCGCACGCGCCCTACAGTGAAAATCTCTTCAAAAACAAAAAAAACAACAAAAAAAAAATAGGTGTACTGTTGAATATCTGGGTATATCGTCATTATATTATAAAACACTGTTATTGTGGGGCCAGCAGGCGGCATGGTAGTTAAGGCACTGGACTCTCATATGACTGACTGTGGTTCAAGTCCTGGACTTGGCGGCTAGAAACTCATGCCAGTCGCATATGCATACCCATGCCCAATATCCCAGGAGAAGGGATTGTGGTGTGGCCATCCACCCTGTGGAGATGATTTCTCACTTTCCTGTTCACCGTCTCTCTCTGGTGAGTATATGTGCCCTATGGTTAAAATAAATAAACAAGTAAAAGTGTATATGCAGGGAAACATACTTCTAAAAAATATTATTAAGCTTTACTGCATTAATACTGTTTTCTTGAACATCTGTGGATTGCTTCTTGGATTACAGTAGAATTTTAACTGGTAGACTTTCTAGAGCTTCCTAATAAAAGGGCTCCATCTAGTGGAGCAATTTAACCATACAGCATGACAGGCAGAAATAGCAATGCTATATTCCTTCAAGTTTAAAGGTGATAAAAAATGACGTTCTGGCATACATGAGGCTGTTTTCAATATTGTTCGATGAAAAGGAAGAAGGTGAAGATATTGCAGGTTGAGTTAGGTGCATGCAAGTGCTTTGGGAGTCAGCTATACATATGGAAGGTACTGACCATCCTCTGAACAAGATACCAAAGTAGCACTATAGTAGAGTTTATTAAAAAACCTGATACACAGGAACCATCACTAGCCTCTGGACAAACCAAAAAGAGTGTGAAGGTGATTGTTATCTCTCATAATTAGTACATTCCTAGCACTGTGTAGATGCTTAACAAATGCTTTCTTTGAAGTCCACATACTTACATAAAGCCGGTAATTCTTTATTTGAGTAAATTTTAGAAGAACTATATATGAACAATCATCTGTAACTCCTTTTCTTTGTAGCCTCAACTAACCACACCTGGGAAGTGCAAAAATGCATCACTACATCCACAAAAAAGATCAAGGCTTATTTTCCAAGTTCTGTCATTAATATTCTCTTTTGGGACCAGCAGATGGTGTAATGGTTATGTTGCTGACTCCCATGTAATTGACTGCAGTTCAACCCTTGGGCCCAGTGAATTAAAACTCACACTGGGTGCCAGTGCTTGCATGCTCAAAGTCCCAAGAGGAGAGAACAGAGGAGAAGGAATTGCGGTGTGGCCACCCCTCCATGGGGTGATCTCTTGCTGTCTCTCTGTTTCTTTCTGTCTCTCTGGTAAGCACACAAGCCCTTAGCACAAAAACTCTCTTTAAAAAAAAAAAAAATCAGTAAATCCTTGTCTTTAAGAAATTCTGTTATTTAGGGACCAGCAGTTGGTGTAATGGCTATGTCGCTAGACTCCCATGTAGTTGACCACAGTTTGAGTCCCAGACCCGGTGGCTTAAACTCATACTGGGTATGGGTGAGTGCATGCCCAAGATCCTGAGAGGAGAATGGAGAAGGGATTGCAGCATGGCCATCCCCCCCGGGGGGTGATTTCTCACTTGTTTTCTGTCTCAGTCTTTCTGAAGTGCATGTGGCCTATAGCAAAAACCTCACACACAAACACATACACGCACACACACACACACAAAAAAAAAAAAAAAAGAAAGAAAGAAAGAAAGAAAGAAAGAAAGAAAGAAAGAGGAACTCCATTATTTAAATTAAAAATCAAGTGGGGCCTGGGGAAAAACATTTGGAGGAGGGATACGGAGACAGCATTGTTGAGACAGGGAGGTAGTACTGTTATATTTTGATCAACTGGACCAGGGAGAAATGTTCACATATTGAAATGATTACCTTGTAAACTAAAAAATGTGATTGAATGTATTTAAGAAATGTTAAAAATAAAATAAAAAATATAAACACTTTCATTAAAAGAAATCAAAGTCCACTGAAGATTAAAAGAATCAATACAGAAAGTAAAAAGAAGACATCAGGGCTTTTAGAAGGAAGCACATTAATAGTAAAAACATGTAGCAATCATATCAGGAAGGATGTCAGATCTGGAAACCCTGAATGAAGTTCTGCACTCAACAGCATTTGCAGCAATTAACTACAACACCTTCACAGTCCTTAAGAATAACTATATTTTCAATACATGCCCATGAAGATTCTTCTATAAAAATAACATAAAGAAAATTTTTGTTAGGCCATGTGTGCTTACCAGAGAGTGGGAGGAGAGAGAGTGAGAGAAAGTGAGAAATCATCCCTGGAGGGATGGCCACTCCATAACCCCTTCTCTTTCATTCTCCTCTTGGGATTTTAGCCGCACATACACACATGCCCAGTATGTTTTTCAAGCTGATGGGTCTGGGACTTGAATTATGAAGTAGATCATGTGGGATCCAGCTGCCTTAACCACCATGCCACTGGCTGGCCCAGTTACATCATTTTTAATTACAAGAATATATTTTTGAAAATTCCCTGAAAGGACGATCATCAGAGTCAAAAGGCGTGAAAAGGTTATGTAGCTCCTATGTTTTAGGAAACCTTGTATGTTTAGATTTGTTGTGAAGATTTTAGCAAACAAGGCATCACTATCATAATCTGAGACATCAGACCCCATTCCCAGACATGGCCTCTCATGAAGGGTCAGTGGACATGGATCTAACCATCTGCATAACTGAGGGGCAGAGCGGCATGGATAGTGTGTCATGTGACCATAAGGCAACAATGTCACCACTGTCTTTTTATTATTATTATTATTGAGTTTAAGAGTTTTGAGAACTTACCGCCCAGGAGCAACTGGCTTAAGAGAACCAACATTTTCAAATAGTTGGGCTTTTGCTGCCACTCTGAAAAACAATTTTTAAAGTGTAAATTTTATAAAGTTAATCAGAAATTTATTCTGTTCAAAGTAAAATTCAGGGTTATCAGTTAAACAAAAACTACTTAAGAAACATCATCACCAAAATGAGAACCAAATTTTAATTGTCCTAAGCTTTAATGTGACACAGAGATCTATAATGCCAATGTCCAGCTCACCAAGTATCAGACTGCAATAAACTTGCAGTCACCTCCCTTGGGGACCTCTGTCCTCATCCTTCTTACTTCGGTAAATTGTGGGAGCAGTAAAAGGAACATTTTCTCCCCAATCTGCTCCCACTAGTAGGTTACTGACTCCTGAGGAGCCATCAGGAAAGAATCAAAGAATTAAATTAACAGAAGAATGAACAATTGTTCATTTATATACATATATTAAAAACCACCCTGAATTCTATAATTATTTCATGTATTTTTTACATCCAAATGTTTTTCCTGTAAAGTGAAAAGAACAAACTTTGAAAATACAACCAAAACATAGATTTGTGGATTTAAATCTTGTTTAAAATCATGGCAAGAACATGTTCTTTTTGAGATAAGAGGTCTTATCAGGTAAAGATGAAAAAGAAAGGAAATTAAGGTCCCCTAGATAATTAGAAAAGTTTCTATATTTACTAGGAGGGGACTTCAAAGTCCTAGAAAACTGTTCTAGACTTAAAAACAAACAAACAAACAAAAACCATCTTCTTTAATTGATAAAACTCTTCTCCCATTGGCTTAAAATTTAATTTCCTCTACTGGCTAGAATGATACACACAGGGAAGCAGAGAGATGTATAAATATATTTGTCTATACCACTGTAGTTGGATTTCCAACCGAGAAAAATAATAGGAATTGAACACACTCTACAACTGAAAAGTCTTATTGAAGGAAGGGAAGAACAAATGAATTTAAGGCATTGTTCCTATGGAAACAGGCTGAGTTAAAAGCCTTACTGAACTTTTAATGAATAATTAAAATGTCAGGAATAACATCATATTAAAGATGGACACAGTATAACAGAAAGAACAGATACCTGAAGCTACAGAACCCTGCCCAGCTTGGAATCATGGCTCTGACACTTAGTAGCAGAGGTCTATATGGACTAGTTTCCTCAATTTTCTAAGCATCAGTTCTCATCATCTCCAAAATGGAGCTCATACTACCAGTTTCAGGACACTGTGGACCTTAAAGAGAGAACTTCCATAAAGAGTAAATAATGGCTCATCCAGCTTTGGAAAATGCTCAGCAAACGCCATGAAAACAAATGAAGGGAGAGAAACTTCCTCTCTGGATTCTGCTTATTCTTTTCTCCAGGTGCTCATCTGATCTTCTTTACCTAATCTTCCTGTTCCCGTCTCTATACCCATCTCCCATCAGGCGTTACAACTCTGCATCATTTCTTTCGATCAGAAGTACTCTTGGTTTTCCTGTTCCTCGTTCTCTGGGAGCTGTTTACATCTCTGAGGGCTCAGGTAGGGGGGACCCAGGCTAAAGAGGAGAGAAACCAACCCTTACGAGCTACAAAGTAACTATTAATATATTTATTTATAACAGACAAAAGCAGCTGGGAGCTAGACTGACTGTCAGTCATGGCATAGCAGTCTCTTCAGAGAGGAGAATGTTTAGCTGCTCCAGGAAGGCTTTTAGTTTCAAAGCCCTTACGTACTATATTTTCATGTCCTTAAATTAAGCCATATTTCTGCGTCTAGTGAAAATGCTCAAAGTGCCATCCCACATGACTGTTTACATATGCTGACTCACCTTCCATGTCCCTTTTAGAAGAGAGTAAGGGTCCTACAGAGGTTGACCATACTCACTCTACAGATGAAGCAAGGGATTGTGGGATTCCCAAGCATTGTTTTGAACACAATTAACCTCTCTATATCTCTGGGAGACATAGCCAAGACAAACATTTCCCACTTACACTGAGCCAGGTCGTTGGTAGCCATTGCTTGAGGCAGTGTCTAGCCTTAACCTCCTGCACATTTTTGGAGGTAGGTCTGGGTTTGGAGGGGTTTTGGGTGTATCTTTGGAACCTATAGAACTTAAGCTTTGAATGGATCCACTGTAGCTCTTGTTTCCTAAAACGAAAGCCCAAGGGGGGGAAAAAAAGGCAAGGTGCTATTAGACAAAATAATACCAGTAACACAGTACATGTGCATAACAAAAGGAAGCATTTTTCTCTGAGCCCAAATGAGAAGGAACAGAATGTTCTTTGAGTATAGCAGCCCATCACTCAGGGAGATCAAAATCTGCAGTAATTACAAAGACATCACCTTGCAGAGATGGAAAGATTCAGGAAAAGTCACAGCACACCAGAGTTTTAAACTCCAAGCCCAGGAACAAAGTAGATAAGCATCATTAGTTTCTTTCTCCATTAACTTTATCCCTGCTTAATCACGCTGAATAATCCAGCAAGTGACATGGAGACAATGACATCTTACACCAGCACCACTATGGCTTACCTTCAGCAGCAGAGATGGATCTGAGAGAGGAAGCAGAGGTTCGTTTCAGTCCTGAAAGCCCATAAGGCCCTTTCTTGACTAGATCTATAGGTGGGGAGACATCCCCCGGGCTGGTGACTGAGGCAACACTCTGGCAGTCTGATTCTGCATCCGTTTTGGTTGCATCTTCTCTAGAACTTGATTCAGGACTAGTTGTCCAAAGAGCAAGGCTTTTCTGCCCATTGGAAGATGATGGGGTTGCGATCCAAGGGATCCCTCCAGATTTCTCCCTGGGCTGACAGGATGCCGACTTTGTAGTGCTATTTTGTTCAGAGGAGTGAGAGGAGAGTGACTCAATGCTACCCATGGGTGTGCTGTCTGGGCTGCTGCTATAGGAGTCACCTGGAGGAGCAGGAGGGGGAGAGAAAAAAACACGCCTGTTTGATAACAGCATCTCCAAAACCTTTCTGTTCATCAGCTCAGAATGTGCTTTGTGGCCACCTGACCCCATCGGCATCCTAGGCCTTTACCTGGTATGGAGAACTGTCTTCTGTATTAGACCAAGGCTTGAAAATACACATTTGAATTTGGCAAATGTCTTTTTCAATACTATTCTAAAAAACCTGCATATATACCTATGAACTAACTGCTCTGTGTAATTACTTCTTGAAGCATTAGTGGACTGGCTTGATTTCAAACAAAATTTGTGTCTGAAACAGCACTCAAAAGGAAGGGAAATACGAATCCTTTGTGATATTACAAGAGATCAATGGGAGGGAGTATATGACAGGACTCTTAATCCTCATTTTTGTTTTTTTGATCATAGGTCGTTCTGAGTTACAATGGACCTGAATCCTCTTTCATTCAGAGGCATCTGTAAATCTCAGCAGCAAATTACGAGGTGCTCATAATTTTCGAAGTAAGGATTTTTTTCATTTTACTGTGAAGATATAGCTGCATAAAAAACTAGCTATTTGACTGAGTTTATTTTTTACCATTCATAAAAGTGTAAGAAAAAAATCAGAGAAATCATGAAAAAAACCCCACTCAAATCTAAATTAAAAATGAGTAGACTCTATTTTCAATTAAATACTGACCACTGGAGAAAATCAGGGGCAGGGGGACTATAAAATGGGATGAGAAGGGTCACAGATGATTGCATACCACAGGCTCAAGCTGCCACCCACACCTTCTGAGGCCTTGACTCTGAATAGCAAGTTAGTGATAATGCATGATATCCTTTTTTCTTTTTCTTTCTTTTCTCTCTTTCAGATGCTTTGATACCCAAGAGGTGATGCTTTAAGAACATAATGTAAAAGGAAGAAAGAAAATGACTGCTTCAGTCAGGCTTTCTCTGGCTTTCTTCTCTACCTTTTTGACAACAGGACAAAACCTACTACAAAGTAGCACCCGACGTACTTAATCACAGCTGCAGGAAAAAAGAGGCATTGAACAAACTATTTTTTTTCCTTTGTAGCAATAATGAATTTGTTTGTCCAAGATACCTTGGGATTACACTGGCAAAGAATACGTAAATATTAGAAGAGGGGCTGTTGGGGAAAGGGCGTCAGTGAGAACATCTATTTCTACCTAGTTGCAAATAAAGTGAGACAAAGCTGAATTAAAGAATGAAGAAAGCACCTCTCTAGGGCCATGCACACTTACTGTCGGGTTCTGCCAGGCATGGAGTATACCTCCCCCTGGGCTTCCGAGAGCCCGTGGAGAGGCAGATTGCTCGTGTCCTTCGTGATCCAGACCGAGACTGAGGTTGTGGAAGAAGAATGCTTGGGTCGGGGGCAGTGTGAAAAATCTACGTAGAGGAAAAATGGATGAAGGGCAATAAACAGGTGAAATTGCCATTTTAATCATAAAATAAGCTTGGAGAGTTATTAGATAATCTTAGAACTATATGCTATTCATTGGTTGCATAGCAAGAGATGCTTAACACACACACACACACACACACACACACACACATATCCTAGAACAGTTATAAACTTTCTTCTCCATTTACAATGAGTAATGTTTCTTCTCTAAGCATTTTTAAAAAATTCTCCCAATATCCCAAACAGTGAAACTCAGCTCTTTCAATAATTTCAATAAAGCCTTTCAAATACAAATAAATGTCTATGTCAAGACACATCGGTTCACTCTTCTTTACTATAACATTCTCTTTCCATCTTCATGCTCTGAAGAATATAACCTGAGAGGATGAGGCTCATTTTGTATCATTTCTCCAGCTAAATGGCTACTTCTTTCTCAAGGCTCAGAGTGGTCAGGGAATGTGACAGGCGAGGTAAGAGCACAACCCCTGGAGGCAGCATGTGTTCTCAGGCTGTGAGAGTTTGTGACCTTGGGTAGGTGCCAGGACACTCCCCTGTGGGCACCAGGAAGGGACCCAAGGAGACAGGGACCCAGTTATCTCACACAGGACCAGAATGGATATAAATGGATCACAAGCGGTAAACCCTTAAGTAGCTGGATTTACTTAACAATCAAATCAACATGGCTTCCACAATTTCTTCTTCCCATAGTTATGCCAAGATCACATTCTTTAAAAGAAAAGAAATTCTCTTTAAGGCCTGGATATAGAGAAGATTTCAAGGATCTATACCCTAAAAAATATCTTTTTTAAAAAAAATTTAGAATATTACTTCTGGGGGCCAGCAGGTGGCATGATGGTGAAGGCGCTGGACTCCACATGGCCGACTGAGGTTCCAGTCCTGGACCTGGCGGCTTGTTTTTTCATTCTCCCTTTCTCTCTCTCTCTCTCTCTCTCTCTCTCTCTCCAAATTGGAGAATAACAATAAAAAATAATTAATTAAATAGAAAAAAGAACATTACTTCTATTAAAGGAAGGAGACTAACTACACAGGGATGAAAGAGAAGGTTAAAACAGTCTTAACCACAATGTAATCTTATTCTCTAAATATAAGTAATATATTGACTATACAATTGCTGAAGAAGAAAAATTTGAGAAGTAAATGTTGTATTGGGTTGTCAGAAAAGTCATGACATCTTTTTTCACATTTTTCTATGCAAAAATATATCATGATCCTGATGACCCAAACACTAAAGAGTATTAAGGCTCACTTAAACATTAAACAAAAAATAATCAAGGTCAACACAGAGTGAATTTATACCAGACTTACAAGAACATGAGGTCACAATGTAAAGCTTACAGACAATACAAATTCTAAATTATTTAAACACAAAATACAAAATGTAACGTTGGCACATGAAAATTCGGCCCACCTTTTCGTAATGCTCTATCAGAATTTCAACTACAATATTCTGAAACTTAATATTCATCATAGCTGCCACAGTTTCTTCTTGCGCTCTCATTAGGGTTGGTCCAAATATGACGCCAAGATTTGAGACAGTCATGAGATTTTGTTGGCTGTGTAGTGATACTCTGCAAACCAAGAACAACAAAAACATCTTAAATGTTTAACACTTAAGAGATATTCTCTTCTGTAGAATTTGAGGCATAAAAATGTAAAATATGCCATTATAGGCTAATTCTTCCAGTTGGTTTGAACTGCTCCCAATGACACTAAAGGATATAGTCATAAAGATGTAATAGGTCAACATTAGTCCAAATAAAACACATAATTACAAGATTTAACATAGTGAAATGAAAAGAATTTTGATTTTTCTAAACCAAGTCCAATGACCTCAGGAAGATTAGTAGGTGTTTGGCATTTTCTGGGGCACTACACTCCTAGAACAGAGGGTGAGGATCAGACTGGTTGTAGTGACATTCAGATTCATCAACATGTTAGAGAGACCATACTGTCAGGCATTTCACACATATTACTACATCCAATCATCAAAGGCAGTCAGTTATTCCTGTCTTACAGTTAAAAATCACAGATGATCCTAGAGTAAATTGGGAACTGTGGCAAATTAGGGGTCCTGACTGCAATTCAAGGGTTTTCTCAAGACCCTCAGATATACCATAGGACAATATAGATTTGTTCATTCGTTCATTCCTTCCTTCTATCCACCCACCTATCCAAAGCTTCCCTTAGTGTCTCTCTAGCCTCAGGCACTGTACTAGGCAAACAGTAAGGCAAACAGATAAGGAGCATCATTGTTGGCTGAAAAATGAAACGAAAAGTCTCTGAGGTCACTAACCTGAGCAAAGTCATCCCAGCAACAATGATCAGAATGATTTCTGACTGGCTTACTAAATCTGGAAATTAGATACATTCATTTAACTAATCTTCTGGTTTCATCATGAGCTTTCCTATCTAACTCCCAGTCAAGTTATAAGAATGTAGTTTTAGGAAGCAACACAGCGTAAGATTATGGTTATGTGTGACTGAGTACGTATCACCTACTATATTCTACACCCTCACAGATTTCATGGGAAATCCAGGGTGTTAGATTATCTATGCAACTCATGACACCGGACAGAAATTGCTGGCATTTCCCCGTGCCTAAGGCAGTACTGGGTGAAATGGCTTTTAGAGTGAGAAGGGTTACATTCTAAGTTTATTTTTTTATATTATTACCAAATATTATATATTATTTATTTATATGACATGTATGGTATGTAAAGGCAGTAAGCCTATCTAGATCCATCACTTGAAAGCTGGATTGAACACAGCCAAGTTGTTTAATATCTGTAGATTCAGCTTCATCATCTGTAAATCAAGTATGACATCTTTATAGGATTGAGAAACTTAAATGTCAATAAAATAAACTATTGGGTCATTAGGAAAGTCACAAGGCATTTTTGCATAGAAAAACATGTCATGACTTTCTCAACAATCTAATAAAAGATGATCCTGAGACAACATTCTCCCCTGAAATTAAGCTGACTTTAGACATACTTGGTAAAATATCATTAGTTACCATAATGTAACTAAAATGGAATATGATGACTATTAAGCTCAATAGGAAATTTGAAAATCTTTAAAAACTTGGTCTCTTTTGAAAAGGAGAGTTGATGACTACACAAAAGACAAAATATTTCAATGACTCATTTTCTCTTCATTGAATTTCCCTTCTGCTGGGCTACTCAAGTAATACAGACCTTACCACTCCTCATTTCAGTAGGGTTTGCAACTCATTCCCTCAATTCATGTAGGGGGCACATTGGTAATTGTTGTCTTCTGAAACATCCCCCTCTTCTTTATTTAAAATGTATATTGGAATCTGCCAATTTACCTTATTTTAAATCTATGATTTTATGCAGAAAGGAATCAACATTGTATGCTTAAAAGTTAAACTTTTCAGATGGTACACAGGAACCCCCAGAGACACAAAACTCAGAGAAACAACCTAAGGAAGAAAAAAATTATCATAAAAAAAGGGGGCCATCAGGTGGTATGGAGTTAAAGGTGCTGGACTCTAACATGGCTGACTGAGGTTTGAGTTCTGGACCTGGTGCCTTGAAACACTCTAGGTGCGCGTGTGTGTGTGTGCCCCCAAAATCACAAGAGGAGAACGAATTAAAGCATGGCCATCCCCCTTGGGGAGTCATTTCTCACTTTCCCTCCCTCTGTTTCTCTCTCTCTTTTAATCTCTCTCTTGCGAGCATACAGGCCCTATGGCAAAAACTTTAAATGGAAAAAAAAATCTAAAATATCTGGAAACTGCGCTAAGAGCATATAGATTGAAGAAACATTTGTTGCAAAGGGAACTTGTTGACTTTAGCCATATGGAGCATTGGCCTTCAAACCTGCTGTCTACAATGCACCAAAGAAAATTGAGGGGAAAAAAAACTACATATTACTTCACACATCTTTTAGTTCACATCTGTGTGTTTCAGAATTAGTTAATAGCTACAAAGGATATAATTACTTGCATTCTGAGAACAATATGTTGAGACATGCAATATACAGAAAACAAAAAGAAAAAAGAAAAATATCCAACTATACCAAGAAAACATTAAATGTGAATAGATTGAGTGATACAATCTAGAGTTAGAGATTATCAGACTGGGTTTAAAAAAAAAGAGAGAGAGCGATCCCAGTGTTTGCTCTCTATAGTAAACATATTTTAGATTCAAAAACAGATAGGTTGAAAGTAGAAGACAGAACACACATCATGCCAACAGCAACATGAGAAAGTCAGAGCAGCTTACACTAATACTACATGAAATGGATTTTAAAGCAAAAAAAATGTTATGAGAGATAAAAATAAAATACAATGATAGAAGAATCGACTCAATGTGAAGCAAACTTATGTGCTTATGGGAAGGCTTTCTCAATAAAGAACTCAAGAGTTTTGTTTAGGTTCATATTTTCACAAACTTAAGAATTTGTGGTCACCAGGACCAGCAGTCAGCGTAAAGGCTATGTAGCTAAACTCCCATACAGTTGACTGCAGTTTGAGTACCAGACCCGGTGGCTTAAAACTCAAGCTGAGTGCATGTGCGTGCGTGCCCAAGATCGTGGGAGGAGAAGGGATTGTGGCGTGGCCATCCTCCCTGGGGGGTGATTTCTCGCTTTCTGTCTGTCTTTCTGGTGAGCACATGCGCCCTATAGCAAAAACCTCTTCAAAAAAGAATTTGGAGTCACCTAGATATTTTCAAATTAAAAACAACTTCAACAAATTGGTAAATTTAATACCATTAGTGTCTTTCCATGTGTAATATTAAAAATTCATTTAGGAGAAACCTTTCACTTTTAGTTTTGCATTCAAATGAACTCCAGAATAATTTTTTTTAAATGTTATATCTCCCCAGTGAATAAGTCTTCCCAAAATGTGCTTAAAAGTAAGAACACTTTTAACATTTTTAAGTTGAATTACAGTCAAAGAAGATAGCAGAGATAGCTTTTGTCTTAAAGACAAAAAGGAAATTCCTTTCCTTCTAAGAAAGGAAGCCATGATTTATTCTACAGATGGTCCCTGACTTTGGACGGATTAACTTAAAATTTTCTGATTATACGATGATGTGACAGTGGTATGCATTCAGTAGAAACTATACTTCAAACTTCAAATGTTTATCTTTCCCTGGGCCAGTGTCTGTCACGTGGTATGGTACTCTCTCATGATGCTGAGGAGCAGAACCCAGCTCCCAGTGAGCCATGCAATCACTCAAGTAACAAATACTCTATGGAGCATAGAGCATGGTTATTCCAGAGCTTTGGATCCTGGGTTTTGTGTTTTTGCACTCCATTGTGTCTCTGAAATGCCCATGCTTGCTGTAACCCCACTGTAAGTCAAACAGCATCTGTATTTCTCAATTAATGGAGATTTGGAATTGATCCTTTAGTCTTTAGAATCCCAATTGAGATAACTAGGTTTTTTTTTTTTTTTTTTTTTTTTTTTTTTTTGTGAGGTTTTTGCTATAAGGCACATGTGCTCACCAGAAAGAGAGACAGAAAGTGAGAAATCACCCCCTGGGGGGATGACCACACCACAATCCCTTCTCCTCCATTCTCCTCTCTGGATCTTGGGCATGCATGCACACATGCCCAGCGTTTTAAGCCACTGGGTCTGGGATTCGAACCGCGGTCGACTATATTGGAGTCCAGCGACATAGCCATTATGCTAACTGCTGGTCCCAAGATAACTAGTCTTATATTCCCCCTTTTTCCAGCCATATAAAGAGACCAAAAGTGTTCTTAGTTGTTTGTGGTTTTCATGAGTGAGTGAGTGGTGATTTGAGCACATTCCTCCGCTGCCACTTAGTCAATGGGGCTTGGCCTATTTTAGGTTCAAGAAGGAAGCCAGGAACAATGGTAAATGATGGACAAAATATGTTTCAAGCACTCTTTAGTGGTTACTACACCAACACTCCCCTGTGTCAAAGCCACACACAGTCACAAGAAGGATGAAGCTTGTGCTAAGCCAACATTCTGGATAATTAAGCAAAAACAATTTATGTGATACTCATGTGGTTTTTAAAAGCACAGTTTAGAAGCCTTGCTAGAAAATTACACCAGTTTGAAGACCAGAAAAAGAATGCCCAATAAATAGTATAGTTACATTTCATGAAGCGCTCACCCCATTCTAAACTAACCCTGACCAAGGACAGCAGTCCTTTGTTCATTAGCTAAAACAAATGCTGCTATGGGTCAATAGTTAATGATGAACTTTAATGATATCATTCCTAAAGAATTTCCTTTTTATTTTAAGCTGTGGCATGTTGCAGGGTGGGGTGCTCATATTCTCTTAAAGCTTGCAAGTTGAGATTTAAATGTTTATGTAGCACTATTTCAAATGCGCATTGCTCAAAGGAGCATAAATTGGTTGTCACTTACATCACAGAAGGAATAAGTAATCATTTTATTGTAAATCATGGTATTCTTTAAAATGGAAAATGTCTCTATTAAATAGTAAATGTTGTATGGGAATTTTTAAGTAAGTTTAGAACTGAATTTAGACTTTATTTCCAATAGCATAGCAAATAAGTTACTGGAGTATATACATGTGTGTAAGTGTGTTTATATACATGTGTTTTAATCTCTAGATAGATAGGCTTTATCAATCTATAATGATTAACTTCACATGGCAACATGTAAAGTTGCCGGCAATTTAGGATGAGTAGATTTTTTGGGCCAACATTATTTTAGGTGTTTCTGTGAAAGTACTTTTTTAGATCAGATAAACATTTAAAGGAGTAGATGTGAAATGGAACAGACTATCTTCTATAATGTAGGTGGGCCTCATCCAATCAGCTGAAAGTCTTAGGAGAAAAAGGAAGTAAAATTGTGCCTCCAGACTGCCTTTGGATTTGAGCTAAAATATTAGCTATTTCCAGGTTCTAGCCTGTCAGCCTCCCTGGGGATTTGGGATTTACCAGCTTCCAAAATCATGTCAGTCAATGAAAATCAGTCAGTCTATCTATCAATTTCTCTCTCTCTCTCTGTGTGTCTGTGTTTCTTTTTACACACACACACACACACACTCACATACACACCCACACACACCCTATTGGTTCACTTTCTCTGGGGAAGTCTAATACAGTATCTGTCTGTCTGTCTATTAATCAGGAGGCAGACAGAAATTTTTAAGTACATTGATGAATTGGCAGCAATGCTAGAAAAAGTCTTTGGAGATTAAGAGAAGCTGAATCCAGAGAAGGAATCTAGCATTAGAGTGTGGTATTGACCCGGGGATGACGACTTTGGTGGTACAGAGCTCTGGTCCTCAAACCCACTGCCTACACTGCACCTAAGAGAATTGGGGGGAAAAATCTCTACTCCTTCAGGTATCTTTAAGTTCACATCTGTGTTTCAGAATTGGTTGAACAGTTGCAAAGGGATATAATTACTTGCACATGGAGAATAAATACAAATAAATCCACACATACAGATTCATCTTTAAAATAACCATATCACGTTTTAAGCACATTCAATGTACTCTGATTATAATAGAAAGGTTATAGCATCATATTTTTCAGAGACATGAACAAGCTGAACTTTAACAGGTGAGCAAGTTGTTAAATGAACAATAGAAGACAATTACTTGACCAGGTGCTTTATTAAGATGTCCAGCATCTCCCTGTTTTTTTCTGGCAATTTGTGCACCAACGCATGTACTGCCTCCACCCTGTAGTTCTGGTCATCAGATTCTGTTAAATAAAAAGGTTGCAAATGTTTAAGTGTTAATTGTATTCAAACACATATATAAATATTACTTCTTTAAACATGACCACTTCTGCCTCCCATGCCTGACTGGCATTGGTTCAAGTACATACTGTTATCACTCTCTGAGGCTTAGAGAGGTTAACTAACTCACCCACGGTCATGAAGTTAGGAAACCAAACAACCTCATTTCTATCAGTTCTACACAAACATGCTTAGCCACTGAGCTATATACTGCATTGTTGGGAAAGTTGTGACACATTTTTTCATCGTCACGACTTTCCCGACCACCTAATACTTTTCATACTACCCTAATTCATTATCTGTTTGGAGTTTGTCATCCAAGGATAGGATCCAGCCTTTAGAAGTGTTAACAATCACAGCAAGTGGTACAGACTGTCTAATGTGCCAGGCACTGTAAAACACACTATCACATAGAAACTGCCTAGAGATCCAAACCCCCAGTGACCAGAGGAAGCTGGTATTCTTTTTCTTATACAGATTCAGTGACAAATACAGTAACTTTTCTGAGGTCTCAACATTATTATGAAAACAGAATAATAATGATTTTTTTTTTTTTTTTTTGCTATAGGGCACGTGTGCTCACCAGACAGACAGAGAGAGACAGAGAGACAGAAAGCAAGAAATCATCCCCTAGGGAGGATGACCACGCCACAGTCCCTTCTCCTCCATTCTCCTCTCGGGATCTTGAGCACGTACACGCACGTGCCCAGCGTGAATTTTAAGCCACCAGGTCCGGGATGCGAACCACGGTCGACTACGTGGGAGTTCAGTGACATAGCTATTACGCTAACTGCTGGTCCCCAAAACAGAATGATAATGAATTTTAAGCCCATACCAACCATGGTAAATCTGAAAACCTAGACCTCTTCTAAGGTACTCTTTCTTTTTCTTCTTCTTTTTTTTTTTTTTTTGTTTTTGCTATAGGGTGCGTGCGCTCTCCAGACAGACAGAGAGAGATAGAGAGACAGAAAGCAAGAAATCACCCCCCAGGGGGGATGGCCACGCCGCAATCCCTTCTCCTCCATTCTCCTCTTGGGATCTTGGGCACGCACACACATGCGCCTGGCGTGAGTTTAAGCCACCGAGTCTGGGACTCGAACTGCGGTCGACTATGTGGGAGTCCAGCGACATAACCATTACGCTACCTCTTCTAAGGTACACTTGACTACCGGGTAAAAGCCAAGATGTTAACTGGTCTGCTAGAGAAATATCTGCCTCTTCAGAACAGGAATCTATTAGGTCGTCGGGAAAGTCAAGGCTTATTGTCTACGTTTTTCTATAAAATGTGTCATGACTTTCCCGACAACCCAATAGTCAGCATTCTCTTGCTGTAAAGTAAACAAGTAATGTGGGAATGCTGACTGCCCACTACACCAAGCCCTTTTACTTGATAGTGCCTGAACACGTAAGATTTATATTCTGGGACCACTCTGGGCACAGTTACTTGGATACAGTGCGAGGAGAGAACACGGCTGAGGCGAAACACCAGGTCTCTTCTAGGAGTCGGGATGCAGACACCAAAACTCTTGTCTGTTGGATGCATGAAGCAAAGCAGATTATATAAAACCAAGGGTGAGGCGACCAAAATATCCCAAGAAAGTCTGACTGGAAAGAGAGACAAAAATGAGACAGAAATGCAGCAAAGAATGAAGATCAGAGATCCTCCAGAAACAGTGAGAAAAGAAACACTAATTCCCAACTCTGCAGTTTCTGGGTACAGGCTCTTGGAAGCCTGACTCCTTCTCCAGCAAGGAATTCTGTGAGGTACCTCTTGGGCTCTGAATAACTTCCCCTTTATTCTAAGCTGCACTTTTGATGCTTGATGCCAAATAACCTACTTTTATTAACTCAGCACCTACTAAATAGGAATCCCTGACCCAGATAAAAGATGAATTCTTATATGTAAAAACATACTTTAAATCTCATGGTCAGAAGGAATATGACTATTTGCAAGAGAAGCAAGTGGAGAAACAAAATCAGTGACCAACGATTTGTACTAAAACAACCTACTTAGGAAGCTCAAACACTATTTTTTAAATAATTTTTATTTATTAATTTTAGTTATTATTTATACAGTTAATCACTATATGTAATTTAGAATGTAGAGACTTTATCCAGCGTGACACACACCTCAGTCCAGCCCAGTTGAGAACACACGCACGTCCTCATCAACAAATAATAAACTATATCCGCATCCTACAAAAGCCTTACCTCTCCACACACACTATTGTAAAATAACCTTTCTGTAAGAAACGGCTGTAGGATAAAAGTAAAACAACAACAACAACAACAACAAAACTAGCTTGTAGCTCTGGTTTTCCCATGAATCTACCAGTGCCCTTTGACAAACAGCTTGCCTAATCTGAGGTCTGATTTCCTGGTTGACAAAAATGAAAGGCTGGATTATATACTTTCTTAAGTCCTGTTCATCTAGTAGAGAGATTTCTATGAAGAGAGTGTAGAGAGGAGAGTTTTTATAGTAGAAAGCTGTAAAGGTACTTATGTGGCCAAGTGGTTAGACATGAGTGCTGGATCCGAAACCAAGGTCGCTGAACTCTATCTGACACTTTTATCAGAAGACAATATTTCTGGTGACATGACAATCTATGACAGTAAACTAATGCAACTGATTTCTCCCCTAGATCGTGAAAAGAACTCGTTAAAGTCATACTTCACACATCTTAACAACGAAATGCTCGCTTCTGATTAAGTTGTGATGGGTTCAGATGGTAATCTGGCACTTTGGTCTCAATGGTTTAAAAGTCTGTATTTTCACTTCTCAGGTTGTATGTTTCGTACTGTTCTCCAAACCACCTCACTCCCACAAATTTTCAATAAAACTTATCTGTTCATATGACATTATGACAGTCACAGATTTAAAGAAATAACATAAATATGTCACCATTGAAAATAAATACAAGAGGGAGAAAGGACTGACCTAAGTGACTATTGCTTGTCAAAAAATATTTGACTCTTTTCTCCGATTTAGGAATATAGCGTGTGAGCTTGTTTGGTGATATGACTTTCTGTATATTTTTGCAGTCAAGTTTATTTAACCACTGAATTGCTTATCATGCAAATAAAATAAAAGTAGAATTCCTCACAGCTATTTTTTTTATTATTAATAATCACTAGAGGGTACATACACTGACCGGAGACAGAGGGAGGAAAGGAAGAAAGCACCCCCTTCAATGGGGGCATGGACATGCCACAAACCCTTCTACATTTCTCCATCCTGCCAGGGTCTTGGGCATCTGTGCACATGAACCCGGTGTGTTCTCTAAGCTGCAGGAGCCAATATTCAAACCATGGTTGGCCATGTGGGATCCAGATCCTTTAACCACTAGGCCACAGGGCTAACCCCTCATAGCTCCTTTTAATCACACCAGAGTATTACCCTAATGTGGTCTCATTTGGACAAATTAGTTCAGTTCATTCTGCAATTTCTTACTGGCCTATAAACAATATGGCTGCCAAGTGCCAGATTGGTAATTTTATAAGCAATATGCAACAAAAGATTTCAACTGGCTAATTAAAATTACACAACTAAGTATATCTGTATAGACTACATCAATTACAATGCATCTGATGCAGTGTACTTACTAACAGCAACAATAAAATCTTTGTGCAACTTGTAAGTCATCAGTGGTTCTGCAAGGCACCTACAACAGAGAAATGGGCATATTTCAGAATAGCAGTACCTTTTTCTGCCCTAAACTTTCAGAACTTCTTTAAGAATTGGGTGATTAGCATTTGTCAACTAAAGATGTCAAGAGTGGAAAACTCTACACCTGCCTTCATGTGACAGGCCATAGTCAAAACACTTCAATACAAAATATTGCATAAAATGACCTTTAGGATATGCAAATAAGGGACATAGGAACACTAACAAGTTCTGTGTTTAAATTTGGGCCACACTCCCAGCATATCTCATTATATTGGTGTAATTATTCCAAAATTTGAAGAAGAAAAAAAAATACAAAACAAGATCCAAAACACTGCTGGTCAAAAGCATTTTGAATAAAGGATACTCAACCTGTGTGATCAAGTCCTAGTGGGGGAGGGGGGTAGAACTCCAGATAGTTCTAAAACACAGACCTCAAAAGCACCAATGTTCCTTAGTACTTCTTGCCATGATTATATTACAAGGGAAGGTCAGAAGACAATTTTTTCCCTTTGTAAGAATTACCTTACTCTAGGAACAATGTCACCCTCACACATGGGGATGATAGTTTTGAAAAAAAAATAAAGAACAGAAGAAAACAACTTCCCATTTCCATTTCAATGTTATTTCAAAGAAAAACATGAAACCCCACATTCAAATTCACTATTTAACAAGAAATACTAATTCAGTATTCATAAAATATTTCAGCCTTTTATGACAATAATGGAAAAACCAAGTACCAGGTCCAGCACATAAACGTAAATGTTACCATCTAATTCTGCTTCCTCTCAAGTGAAAGAATGGAGCTGAGGAGTGAAGCTTGTATACACAGGCTCCACGAAATCCCAGGGTTACTGGTCAAGGCAGTGAGTGAGAGAGTCCATCCAGGAGTTAAACCCTTCTCACCTGAGGTAGTTTTTCAGCCCACTCGTTATTGTCTTATTGTCCCACAGTTCAATATCGATGTCAATGTCAGGAGGGGATTTGGGAGCTAGAAAGAACAAAAACAGGATGCTCAGATTGTACAACTTGGAATACGACTTACATAGTAATGATGAAAACAGATACAAACCTAAGTAAGTGCAAAGAGATAGGCATCCATTCCTTAGGATACCCACAGAGTTAACTTTGGGACTGTTGCTTATGTAAACTGACAGAAAGTGTACCTGGACACTACATCTCCAAGTTATTCCTGTGGAATAATATTCAGCCAAACCAAATTATCATGAATTGTTAACATGTCAGAGTTTACCTGGCAAGCTTCTAGGTGCTTTACACAGATTAACATAGTCAATCCTCAGAATTCTTTTTTTTTTTTTTTTTTAATAATTATTTAATTTTATTTATTTATTCAGTCATTTTCATTTGACCAGAAAAAGGCACACAGAGAGAAGGAAAGTGAGAAAGCAAGCCACCAGGTCTGAGACTCGAACCATGGTTAGCCATGTGGGAGTGTCCAGCACCTTAACCACCACACTACCTGCTGACCCATTCCTCAGAACTCTTAAGAAGCAAGCATTATCATCATCGTGATTTTACAAAGGAGGAGGCTGAGACAGAGAGTTAAGTCAATTATCCAAGGTCACAAAGCTTTTTCTTTTTTAAATGGGAGAGTGTGTGTGTGAGAGAGAGAGAACACATGGGATAGAGAGAGAAAAGGAGAGAGACAGTGAGTTATTTTTCTGACAATATCTTGCCATGTTCTGATCCCTTCGGCCCTCGCCTCCCAGCTACTTGGGACCACAAGTGTGCTCCTCTGTGCCTGGCCTGTTAAGGCTGGCCTGAGAAACAAATCCAGACCTCCCATCCGGCCTCAAAAGTGGCAAAGCACCACCTTTCCACTTGCAGCACAGAGGCTGGGCCAAGGCCACAAAGCATTTAAGTGGTCTAGCTGATGTTGTAAGCCAAGTGCATCATGCATTTTGTTATATCTCTAGCTATTGGAAAAAACAGCCTACTGTTATAAAAATGCCTTCTCAAATTTTTACTGTTCATTTATTATTAATAAACACTAAAAATGGAATGCAGGGCCAGCTCGCGGCAGAGAGGTAACATGCTACTCAAGAGATGATGGATCCGAGTGGAAGATGGTAGGTTCAGCTCCCCGGCTGACCTGCTGAGCATACATACCCTGGCTGGCTGAAAAAGGCAAGGGTGGTGTAGAACCCTGCTAAGTATGTTTGTCTGTTGGTCTGTCTGTCTCTCAGATCCCCACTCTCTGTTCCTCACTCTTGAAAAAAGTAAATAAACTTTAAGAGACCTGTCTACATCTGTAAATGTTAAATACTATTTGAAAATATTCAAACATAAGAAATAGCCTATATTATTGCAAAGAAATGTATGGTTTGGATTGCCTATAAGAATATAAAAATTAATTAATTTTCCTTCATCCAAAACTTACAAAAAGTGGTGTTCATGAGTTTCTGAACTTTGGAGTTCACACCTCCTATTCGGTAGAGGCCCAGGATGGTAATGCCTAATGGGAAGGAAAATCATGGAAAATGACTTGAGACACAGTTTTGCAAGTACAGAATATTAAAAAGCCAGACCTATACCTACAGAGAATTCAAAAGCTATGTATCCAATTTTGCAGTCGAACTTCAGCAAACCTAACCTAGAAACAGCCATCAGAATGCATTTCTCAGAGCAGGTGCCAAATGTGATTTCGAAGTCTTTGAAGATCTTCAAAGCAGCAACAAAACCTTGCCTAGTCACTGTTATTTGAATGAAAAAAAAAAATCAAAGATGGGAAGGGATCATCATGATTCCTCATCTTCTATGTCATCAGAATCATGGAGTCTTGCATGGGGGTCAGATCTCTCACACATTCTACACTTTTATACATTCACTTTAAAAGTGAAGAAATAGACTTTGAGTTGAGGAGAAACTACAAAACTTCTGCAAACTTCTAACTGGCAGTACCAAACAGGAATCTAAACTTAGAAAACTCCAACGGCCAACATGAGTTTTCCTTTAGATATGTTTTTCTAAAAGTAAAAAAGGTCTAAAATCTAACTGGAGTGGGCTTCAAGAGTGAGGCCATTAAAGTCACTTAGTGAAAGAAGAAAGTTAAGGCATGCTCCTAAGGAATTGTTCTCACCTTCCCAGTGCTAGAAAAAAGTTAGGGAGGTGCTTACGTAATACAGAAGACACAGTCCACCAGTAAGAAATAACAGAGGCTATATCCAAAACAAAACAAAACAAAAACAAAAACAAAAACTTTAAAATTGTCTGTGGTGTGATTTTTGGTAAAATGAAGTTCAAGGTCCAGTTATTTGTGAGATAATATAACCTACACCTTGACATCACTCTTAACCTTATGTTCATGATGAAATATACCTACATATTCTACTCTGACAAGAGACAGTAAGGATGTACCTATCAGATGACACTTACCTCTTGTTTCCACAGCTTGAATGCATTTTCTTACAAAGTTGAACCCTGCTTCATTTAAGTACACTGAAACAAAGCAATTTATAAAGCTACATTAAGTGACTTACATTCCCTCTTCAGTGGTTCTGTTCATTATACCTCATGACTTAAGAGGACAGTAGTTGTCATTGAGTTAATCAAATATTTTGATTACAGGCTACTTATTTTGGAGATAAAAGCAGAGGAAGAAGATTCACCTTTATGGTTATGACATCAATCTGCTTACCAAGAAGCACAGATCCTTCAAAGAAAATATGATACAGTGATACCAACCATTTTTCCTCAAACTAGCATTGAACTCTACTATATTTTTTTCAGATGATAGAAACAAATACAGTAGACATGAAGCTTCCCTTTGTGTAGAAAATGACATGACAAAGTCTTAGTCATATTCTTTCCAATGGGATTCTCAAAACAAGACATAGAATGAAAGCTTTGTGGTCTTAAGATGAGTCGATGGATTGCTAAAAACTGCCTTTTCTCTGTACTATATTCTAGAATAAGGATTCTAACTCAGGTCTCCTGATTCCAAGTCCAATGCCATTTCAACTGCATTTTGCTGTAATATGCAAAGTAATTTAAAAGATTCTCAATTAGTCTGCTGAAAATCCCCCCAAAGCTGTTAGGTTAAGATACAGCTTTTTTTTTTTTTTTTTTAACTAGATTCCTTTTAAATATGTTCTAATTATTCTAAGGTTTTGGGATCAAATCAAGTTAAGATTACTTATTTTAAAAAACAGGCTTTATTTAAGGCTACCAAGTAACAACTAGAAAAAAAATTGATTTTGATTTTTTTCCTAAACTATGACACACCTTTTCCTCACATGTTTAAAGATAGGATATTTTCTGTATTTTCAACTAATAATAAATAAAGATAATTCAAACCAGTAAATATTTAAAAGTGGCTCCCATTTAAACAAGGTCGATAAAACTTGTCTATATAGCTCAACACAGATCCACAGACAAAACATATAAAAAATTATGATAAATTTAAGAAAGGAAACTAGCAACTGGCTAGAAACTATGAAGAAATTCCAGACATAGAAAAAACAATGAAATTTAACTGACTGGCAGAAATATCTGGGACGTCTATGACCCCAAAACTAGAAGTAATGGCAAGGAGGGATATTTATTATATACTGTCACTTGCAGTTTGAATCCTGGACCTGGTGGCTTAAAAATCACATTGAGTACATGTGCAAAATCCCAGGATGAGAATGAAAGAGAAGAGATTGCAATATGGCTGTCCCCTCAGAGGGTGGTTTCTCACTTTCCCTCTTACTGTCTCTCTCTGAGTGCATGTGCCCTATGGCAAAATTAATTAATTAACTAATTCATTAATTAAAAAAGAAAAAGAGTTGGCTGTGTGCCATGTCCCTGTGGTCCCATATGGAAAACTGAGATAAGAAGATTATGACAAGACCCTGTCTTTAAAAATAAAATGAAATATAATAACCTGCAAGACAATACAGCCTATTTTACTAAAATGTAAAAACTTGAGAATATGGAGCCAGCAGGTGGCATGGTGGATAAGGCACTGGATTTCCACATGGCCAACCATGGTTTGAGTCCTAGACCCAACAGCTTAGAATCACACCAGGCTCATGTGCATGAGTGCCCCAAATCCCAACAGGAGAATGAAGGAGAAGGAATTGTGTGGTCATTCCCCTGGGAGGTGATTTCTCACTTTTTCTCTCACTGTCTATCTCTAGCAAGAGCATGTGCCCTGGAGCAATAACCTAAAAAACAAAACAAAATAGCTTTAGGATATGAATATTTCCATTTTCCTAGGAAAAAGTTTCATAAAGACCTATGGAAGCTATGAGGGCTGAAGATAAAAACTCATTTTTATTCACTAGATTTTGGAACCATTCAATATTTAAACTATATATATATATATATATGTGTGTGTGTATGTGTGTGTAGATATATATGTATGTTATATATATTATTTTGATATATTATTGTATTATAATGTGTGTGTCAGTGTGTGTGTGTATATGTGTGTATATATATATATATATATATACATATACATATACACACTTCAAAAATAATGTCTGTACTCTAGAGAGGAAAATGCCCAAACTAAGATATGTACAGACTTCAACAGGAACTGGCTCACTATCTCCTTGTTCTCATGTTCCCAGGTCAAGAGAACAGCACTCAGTGAGTGCTGAGGGTGGACTCAACACAAGATCGAATGGCCATGGATGAGCATCTCATCAGAGTACAGCTGCTGACCTATAGCAGAGTGCAGTGCATTTTGGACACCAAGAAAAAACTGCTTGCTTCTAATAATCCCAAATCCCTTGCATAACATTACATATGCAGATATGTTAAAATATTAGTTGAATATAGGAAACAGTTTAAGAGGGAAAAGTGAGGAATTGCACATTAATTTTCATTTTTAACGACAAAAAACAAGACCAAAAATGTAACCCTGGATAAAAACAAGACACCAGCATTTTTATATCAACTAAAACTGCAAGTTCCTGACATTTAAAACGTTTGGTACTTAAGGTCACACTGTTCAGCTTTTCAATAAAGAAGATTTACTGACAAAGAGAAAAACAGTTCTTGCAAAGTATCAATAAAATTTGCCTTTGGCAAAATGAATGAAGATAGTTATGACATAGAAAAGAATTTCTTGGTACCAGCAGATGCTGCAATGATTCTTCACTGGACTTCCATGTAGTCAACCATGGTTTCAGTTCCAGATCCAGTGACTTAAAGCTCATGCTGGGTGTATGTGCGTGCTTGCCCAAAACCCTGAGAGGAGACTGGAGGAGAAGGGATTGCAGCTTGGCCATTCTCTTTGGGGCTTGATTTGTCACTTTCTGTCTCTCTGGTGAGTACGTGTGCCCTATAGCAAAAATCTCTCTCTAAAAAACAAAACAAAAAACAAAACAAAGAAACCAAAAAAAAAAAAAACCCAGAATTTCTACTGTAAGCATTCATTTTGAGAAAAATAACCAGGTCCTATTATGAGGATATACTAGGACCTCTGGCAGCAAGATCCTAGTCCATTCAGTAAACTGTTATCATAGGCTCGTTATGAAGAATAGAATCTTATAAGCAGTCAACTTGACAGAGAGGCCATTTATTGGGTGCTGCTGTCCCAATGTACTCTATTCTCTGACTCTCTTTCTTAGCTCTCTTCACATGAGTAAATGCAACATTATCAATCAGTTCGGAGATACGGGAAAATATACCGTGTCAATAAAAATAACCATGCCCATTGATTGTTTCATTTGGCCGTCCTGAGCTTTGCTTGGAAGAGTACATTTCTGTGGTGCAGAGATAGTGCCCAGCTGTGTAAGGGCGAGGTAGTTCTGAGTTTTAGTCCCAGCCTTGCTGTTACTGTTGTCTGAATGGGAGTATGCCTATTATTTCCTATGAACTTGAGACCTTCACTTATAAAATGAGGAAAGTAGCAATACATGGTAAGAAATTGTAGGAAGATGAAGCCAAAACCACAAGAAACAGTGAAGAGCACCTAACAACAAAATAAGACTAAATGCTAGGTTGGTGTCTCCTTCCACTTCTGTCTACCTACCATTGCTATTACTACCTACTATTGCTATTACTGTCTACCTACCATCGCTATTACTAAGGGAAAGAACATTTTTTTAAGAGTTAATTTTATTTTTTCTTAGTATTATTTTCATTTGCTACAGGGCATATGTGCCCACCAGAGAGAGAAAGAGATAGAGGAAAAGTGAGAAAGCAAGCCACCAGGTCTGGGACTCAAACCGTGGTTGGCCATATGGGAGTCCAGCACCCCAACCACCATGCCATCCACTGGCCTCAAAAAGAAATATTAAAAGAAGTCAATCATTAGTTCTGACTACACAGAGAGAGTAGTTATTCTCTCTCTTGTTGGATGTGTCCTGGGCATAGTTTTACTCTCTCTATGGCTTGTTTCCTCTACTATAAAGATAATACCTCTTCACTGGGTTCTTAAGAGAAGACATAAGTTAATTGCTACAAAGTTCCCACAAGAGTGCTTGGAATATGGTTGGTGCTACAGAATTTTAGCTATTATCATCAACAGTTCTGACAAAAGGAGAATGAAAATATCTATACCTGTAAATTTCATTAATAAGACATTCTTTGGGCATGGGCGAGGGATTGTTAGCCAGGAGTGCTGTTTTTCAAAGAGGAGGACTGCATTACTTATTTGCAAACTATTTGAGGTCTAAAACAAAGATGAGTTTCTTTAAAATAGACATGATTTGGACATAAACAAAGCAGGCTATGTCAACAAAGCTGGCTGCTAAATAGATAAGAAATTAGAGATGAAGAAATGTCCCCATGGGGGAATCAGTAGATGGTGTAATGCTTATGTCACTGGACTCCCACATAGTTGATGGTGGTTCAGGTCCTGGACCGGTGGCTTAAAACTCACACTAGGCATGTGTGTGTGTATGCTCAAAATCCCAAATAGAGAATGGAGGATAAGGGACTGTAACTGCAATATGGCCATCCCCCCGTCTCTCTGTTGAGCACATGCAACTATAGCAAAAATCTCTCTTAAAATGAAATAGAAGAAATGTCCCCATGGGGCCAGCAGGTGGTGTGGAGGTTAAGGTGCTGGACTCCCACATGGCCAAACATGGTTTGAGTCTCAGAAACCACAGTTTAAGGCTCATGCTAAGTGTGTGTAAGTGCATGCCCAAAATCCAGAGAGGAGAATTGAGAAGGGATTGTGACATGGTCATCCCTCCTAGGAAGTGATTTCTCACTTCTCCTCTCTCTGTTTCTGTCTATGTCTGGCGAGAGCATGCATTCTATGATAAAAACCTAAAAAAAAGAAGAAGAAAAAAGAAATGTCTTCGTATGTGCATTAAACTTCCATAAATCACAAACAGCCAATACGCCCTCTCACTGGGACCTCAGTCCCAGTCAGCAGAGGGCACCATGTTGGAATTAGTGCTCCATATACTTGTCCCTCACTCCAGGACAATTCTGTCTCTCAGCACTCTTAGAGACAAGCTTGGTCATATGATATGCACTTATCAATG